TTCAAATGTGGGATCAAAGATTATTATGAATCTAAATCATGCATGGGCATATACACCCTCTGCAGTCTAATTTCTATGGGACCTTTGTGCTGTGAAAATTAAACATTTTTTCACAAAGTGACTTTCTATCACAAGGCTGCAGCCTGAGATATATCCTTGCATTTCTATTACTGGCATTTAAACAACAGAGGCAGGTTCAACAAACTCCTTTTATACAAATACCATCCAGCCACAGACCTCATCACTCCACACTGTGCAGGGGAAGCTGAAGTCATTGGCTGACTTCACACACACACACGCACACAGCAATCCAGCTACTGGCCTCTCTCCAGTTCAAGTCTTATGCAGGTTAAGCTGTTTACATGCATCTCTGATACCCCAAAAGGAAGTCTCTGTTTCTATGAGAAAACCAAAGGTGAGTATTTCTGTGTACCTGCGCTGGCCCACCCACAGCCAGGATTCAGCAACCCTCTATCAATGATGATGTTGTGTGGATGTGCTCCCAAACATCGCAAAAACCAAAATAAAATACATTAATTTCCACCCATCATGTTGCAAAAGTGTTTTTATGAATCAGTTGTAAATTGAAAATTATTTCAAACTATTAATTATATCAAAGTGTTTATTGTTATGTTTTTCTAAAATGTAATTGTCAGTGTTAATGGTGGATTAAGATTTTACATGCTGTTTGATAAATAAAATGAAAACGGGACAGGACATGGTGTCTCTCAGGCAGTGCTCTAGTCGAGTCCCCAGCGTTCGAGTCCGAGTCGAGTCTCGAATCCTCAGTGTTCGAGTCAAGTCCGAGTCACCAAAGAATAATAGGAGTCTGAGCTGAGTTCCTGTTGCGCGAGCCAGTCATTGAGGTCTATGTTAAACACAACTGACACAGCTGTCACCATTTTATATTCCAAACTTTCTAACAGTCTATTGTGGAGGTCACACCACACTTTCTCATTGTCTGTCATTTTGAAACAGGGTCATAAAAATTCTGTCATAATTTATTGTTACTCCTCAATTTAATTCTCATTTTTTAATAATATAGCATTTTTAATAGAATTTTAATATCATTTTTCATTAATTCGCATTTAATTAAAAAAATATTTTATATATGGAACAAGTGTATGTGCTGTGGCTACTTTTCATGTCAGCACCACAGAAAGCAGATGACTTAGTCGCATTTGTTTCTGGCAGCGGCAACAAAGGCCACTAAAAATACTGTTGCCAGTGTGCAAATATGAACACTGAAATTTTACTAAATTAGACAATTACCATTATAATATGAACACAAGAAGTTAGGCTAACTGAATTGAACTCAGCTGACCTGCTGTAGCTTTGCCTGCTGCAGAGGTGACTGTCAGTAGGTTTCTCGTGGACCCTATAATTTAGATGTGAAAGCTGAACCCGCTCTGCTGCCACACTGCAGACTGGACTTGCCAGCTCCACTTCAGCCAAAGTTTTGAAGTCAGGGAACAATTCTCTCTGGAAGTGTTTAGAAGTTCTTCTGAATGTGATATTTCCTGATCCAAACTTGAAGTTAGTGTAGGTCGCTCTCTGTGTTCTAATCTGCCAAAATGATGGTCTTCAAATTTTTCCATCATTAATAAAAACATTCTATCAATTACGGAAAATATTCGGTTAACAGAACCTCTTATGCACTGCATCACCATATTGCTCTGCAATTTGATACAAACAAATCATTTATAGAAAGGTGGAGTGTACGCTTTAAGTGGATACTGCAGATACAGCATGGCGCAAATGAACAGGTTTTAATGTCAATATCTTATGCCAAATTATTATAACCTATTAGCACAGAAAAGAAAAAACCAAGTCCTCCTATACAACTTCCGAGTCTGAATGCAGTCAATGCTCAAGTGCGAGTCCGAGTCCAAGTCATCAGTGCTCAAATCCAAGTTGAGTCACGATTCCTGAAAATCTGGACTCGAGTGGTACTCGAGTACTACAACACAACTATCCTAACCCCCTCCATGACCATCTGCTGCCTACATTGCTTCTATTACTATGCCTGCTTCTCCTGTGTTTTCAAACTACCATCTGTAAATTAGCCCCACCTGCCTCCTAGTGAATGTTGCATTTCAAACAGCCAGCCATGGAGGAGCTCTCAGCGGCTAAAAGTCCAAAACTGTGGCAGCAAGACTGAAGAGGTCATGATTTTTGCACAGAGAGAGTGGGACAAAGAAAGAGCAAAAACAAGGGTTAACAGCAGTTTGGCTTTTTGTGATGGAGTGTTAAAAGCAGCCAAAGCAACCGGATTTGATTCAGATGAACGTTAGCATCTAAAGCTAACGTTCATCTGAAAGTTAGCAAAGTGTTTGTTTCGCTAACTTTAGCAAACTAGCACAGTCATGATTTCACCTTCATGTTGAATTAATATAATCTGGGAGAAATTCAATCTTTGTGTAACATCAGTGCTGTGTTAATCCCATTATGCTGCTGCAATGCTGCAGAAGAGCTGGGGCTCTAGTCCGCTAACAGTAGCTTTGGACTCGTGGCTGCTTTTTGTACAAAACCAAGTGTCAGTAGGTAGATTAGTTAATGCACCCTTTCAGGATGCCTTGATCAAGTCGAAACTCAAATCCCCTGAAGTGAAGCTCATTACTTCTAAACTGCCTAAACTGTTCTCACCAATATTTCTAATTAAATACAGTGCCTTGCGAAAGTATTCGGCCCCCTTGAACTTTGCAACCTTTTGCCACATTTCAGGCTTCAAACATAAAGATATAAAACTGTAATTTTTTGTGAAGAATCAACAACAAGTGGGACACAATCATGAAGTGGAACGAAATTTATTGGATATTTCAAACTTTTCTAACAAATAAAAAACTGAAAAATTGGGCGTGCAAAATTATTCAACCCCCTTAAGTTAATACGTTGTAGCGCCACCTTTTGCTGCGATTACAGCTGTAAATCGCTTGGGGTATGTCTCTATCAGTTTTGCACATCGAGAGACTGAAATTTTTGCCCATGCCTCCTTGCAAAACAGCTCGAGCTCAGTGAGGTTGGATGGAGAGCATTTGTGAACAGCAGTTTTCAGTTCTTTCCACAGATTCTCGATTGGATTCAGGTCTGGACTTTGACTTGGCCATTCTAACACCTGGATATGTTTATTTGTGAACCATTCCATTGTAGATTTTGCTTTATGTTTTGGATCATTGTCTTGTTGGAAGACAAATCTCCATCCCAGTCTCAGGTCTTTTGCAGACTCCATCAGGTTTCCTTCCAGAATGGTCCTGTATTTGGCTCCATCCATCTTCCCATCAATTTTAACCATCTTCCCTGTCCCTGCTGAAGAAAAGCAGGCCCAAAACATGATGCTGCCACCACCATGTTTGACAATGGGGATGGTGTGTTCAGGGTGATGAACTGTGTTGCTTTTACGCCAAACATAACGTTTTGCATTGTTGCCAAAAAGTTCGATTTTGGTTTCATCTGACCAGAGCACCTTCTTCCACATGTTTGGTGTGTCTCCCAGGTGGCTTGTGGCAAACTTTAAACGACACTTTTTATGGATATCTTTAAGAAATGGCTTTCTTCTTGCCACTCTTCCATAAAGGCCAGATTTGTGCAGTATACGACTGATTGTTGTCCTATGGACAGAGTCTCCCACCTCAGCTGTAGATCTCTGCAGTTCATCCAGAGTGATCATGGGCCTCTTGGCTGCATCTCTGATCAGTCTTCTCCTTGTATGAGCTGAAAGTTTAGAGGGACGGCCAGGTCTTGGTAGATTTGCAGTGGTCTGATACTCCTTCCATTTCAATATTATCGCTTGCACAGTGCTCCTTGGGATGTTTAAAGCTTGGGAAATCTTTTTGTATCCAAATCCGGCTTTAAACTTCTCCACAACAGTATCTCGGACCTGCCTGGTGTGTTCCTTGTTCTTCATGATGCTCTCTGCGCTTTAAACAGACCTCTGAGACTATCACAGTGCAGGTGCATTTATACGGAGACTTGATTACACACAGGTGGATTCTATTTATCATCATTAGTCATTTAGGTCAACATTGGATCATTCAGAGATCCTCACTGAACTTCTGGAGAGAGTTTGCTGCACTGAAAGTAAAGGGGCTGAATAATTTTGCACGCCCAATTATTCAGTTTTTTATTTGTTAAAAAAGTTTGAAATATCCAATAAATTTCATTCCACTTCATGATTGTGTCCCACTTGTTGTTGATTCTTCACAAAAAATTACAGTTTTATATCTTTATGTTTGAAGCCTGAAATGTGGCAAAAGGTCGCAAAGTTCAAGGGGGCCGAATACTTTCGCAAGGCACTGCATTTCAGCTGTTTATTGAAACATTTACTTAAGCGAACTACTCGAGTTTGATACTCTCACCTAACTAGGTTATTTCAACTGTTTATTAAATAGCAAATTTTAGCTCCCAGCTTCTAAACAGTTTATCCCTTACCTTTTATTTCATCCATTTTTCCACTTTCCACTTTTATTCATTACTTATAGCTACTGCAACTATTCAACTTGTCCTGCTCACATGCTAACTAGTTTTTGATAGACTCTTACAATTGACTCAATTGACGGGTAGCTTACTGGTTAATGTAAAATCTGTATCACAATCTTTAATCTTATTTTGCTGTTGATTTTCTTACTGACACAAATATGTGGATATATACTGTATTTTTAATTTCTGTTTTTCAGTCTGGTTTAGTTGAGTTCATGAGATGGGGTTTCCATGTACCCCCTGGAAACTGCAGATGGCCCTGCAGGTACAACCCAGATGGAGATCACAGACACACTGAAAAAAAGGACTCACCGGGTCTTTGGATTTACACAAATTATGCTAGTATATGCAACGCAATTCATTCATATTTCCTCTGTTAACATAATTCAAACAAGTTAACCCCAGAAGAAAATTATGTTGGTTTTACACATTATCATTGTGTGGGACCGATGTACACATTACAATCAAGTAAATCCAACAAATCTTTTTTTTCAGTGCACAGAGTGGCATTTACTGACTCTCACCTGTCTGTCTCTGAGCTGAGGTAGCAGATGAGGTGACACGCCCAGAGCAGCGGCCCTGCATAAGTGCTAAGGGCTGTTAAGAAGATGGCAGGTGCTTCTACGTAACTTTCCAGTCCAACGAAGCCCACTGAAATATCGACAGTGGCAATGTTGTTGGAATTACCCTGCAGGAACACAAAGAAATATTATTTTAGCATCAGCAAGGGCGCGGGAGTTAAACAAGTACACACAGATCTGTGTGTGAAGTTTTATAACCATCTCAGAGCTCTAAAGAACTGCTCCTTTACTTTATCATCAGTACTCGGAGCTTCTGGCGGCTTCCCAGCGGCCCAATTGTTTGTGTTTTCCGGCTGCTGACCAGAGCAGCAGACACAGCTTCTGTCTGGAGCTGGACTCTTGTTAGAACCACTCAGACTAATGTGTGTGTGTGTGTGTGTGTGCATATGTGTATGTGCCAGTATGCAGAGTTGTTTTTTTTTTTTCATTTCTGGGAAAACACCAAAAATGCCTGCAGTAAACACAATGTATTAGACTTTTCTAACTTTGTTTTATTTCTTTCCTTTTAGTCAGAAGGTTCATCTCAAGCTTTAGATTGTCACTGCAAAGCAATGAGGATTAATAGTCACAATATAAAGGGTATTTGATTCTGCAAGTGTAGGATATGTGCACACAAGGAAAATAAGCCTTTGTTCAAATGTATTGGCACAGTGCAACAAAAAAAAGGAGGCTGACAAAAAGTGCAAGTATAAAGAAAGATTTCATAACCTTAAAATATATGTTAAGGTTTTTTATGTAGTAGCTTCATCACCAGCTCCACCAACATATCAGAGAGTAGTTTTGTTTAAATTAAAAAACATTAAAATATATATTTTTCAGTTCTCTGGTCAGTGCACATCATGTATCTGGACCACTGAGTGAATATAAATATGGACATCATGACAGCTCCCAGAAATGAAGCCACTGTGACATGATGAGCCCCCTGGTGGCTGGTTGCAGTATAGGTCATAAATCGCACCTTCTCCATGTCAGTTGATGGGACATGAGCCAAACTAAAAACAAATCAAAGAAATTTTTCCCAGAGGTGATTTCTGTGGTTTTTGATAAATATTATCATGCTGATGTGTGCACAAGTGGTCATTTTTCTTAAAAATTTATTGATTATAAGTTATTTGATGATATAAAAAGGGGTGTATTTCGGATGATTTGACAGCTTTGGGGCCCTATCTTGCAACAAACACACTGTGTGTGGCGCAGGTAGCACGTCTGTGTTTCCTAATTTCCTATCTGTGCAATTACCGTTTTCATGACATACGCATAACTTTGCCTTTTTACAAAGCAGCAGTCTGTTGACTTTGCGCTAGCAGGTGTGTCCAGGTAAATTTCGGGTGTGCTGGTAATATGAGAGCGCACAAAGTGACTGTGCCACTGACCAGAAAAAAACAGGTCTGTGGTCAACAGTCAACTCATTATTGCTAGTTAATGGGCACGTTGAACATGTTGTGATGTGCAGAATCTGGTTGCAAAACGCCAAGATGGCAGCTACCGTACTGATGATATTTTGGCTTCACTTTTGCATAGTGGTGTTAAGTGGTGATGCATCATCCATATCTATATACAGTCAATGGTCTGGACAATATTCTATAGACTGTACACTAGTATACTAAGTTCAGTTAAAAAGTAAAAAACAACAAAAAAAAAAAAAAAAAAGAAAGAAGATCGGTGTTCCAACTTGTGCTGCTCAGGTGTTCAGTCTGACTTGCAGGTGGCACATTCAGATGCCTGCAATCACCTGCATCCTGTTGATGTGTCCAAGACGCCGCCTTCAGAAGGCTGGCGCACTGAGCAGCACCTCTCAAAACCTCTGTCACGTCTGATCACATCTTCTCCTACAGAGCTCAAATTGCCCCATTAACAGTATTTCATTTTCTAAGTGTCTTATTTAACACATTCAATGTCTTTGAGCATAAGTGATAATTGCATTTACAATTCATTGTGATCATTAGGCTGTCACATGTATAGTACACTCTACATATGCACACAGAAAAGAAAAATCTCTGGGAACACCGCTGAGACAAATGATCTCTTTCTTGTCAGATTTGAATGCAATGAGGCTCCATAAGCAGCAACACATGAATGAATGGCTTATTCCCCTTCTGTGCGCACATCTCTGATCACAGAGGGGAGAAAATAACATTAAGAGCTGGCTCCATTTTCAACAGATAGTGGATGTCAGTGAACAGGCTGGAGGCTTTAGTTGGACATTTTCTACTTGCTTTCTGGCTGAAATCATGCTGTGATCATTCAAATATTGTTCTGCACCATCAACAAATATCTCATTTATGCTTTATGCATGAGTTTCAAACAAAACTGATTGCCATGACAACTGCCAGAAAGTGGGATGGTCTAAGAGAGCTCCTCGCTGAAACGTATATGATGCAAAGAAAACAAATCTATAGTGTGAATACTGATGTCTTCAATTGGTGTGATGAGGATAACTTTAAGACTGGTTAGTGTTATCAAACAGAAATATCCACCGTAATTCGTATGCTCATTGTAAGTCATCTTTGTTAAATTCATTCATTCAATACGAGGCCACCTTTCAGCTCTGAGCTATAAAAACATCCTCGTGATGAGTCATCTTTTCTACAGAAGGTTGCTAAGTTGCATTTGAATTCAAACCCGTGGGGTGACTCGTCCCTACTCGTATGGCAACATTTGCAAAACCTGGCTCATTTCTGAAGAATCAACACCTCCTTGCTGCCTTACTGACCATCTGGTTTAGGGACGGAGTTAACTCCACTGAAAACACACCGCAAAGTCTGACTTGTCTGTCACTGTAAGTGATCAGGACAGCTGAGTGCAGGCAGCCAAAACCTCTCCTGTGAGACAGTTAATTCATCATGTCACATGATTTAACTTTCAGGTGACACTAGTGAGGTCTCTTCTGCTGAGGGAGGTTACCTGGAATATTTCCCATAATCCTCCTGTGCTTTTTTGTGTGTTTGGCTGCCAAAAAAAGACACTGAAAACAACACCAATTGCCAATATTTGAAATAAAGGCTCTGAAAACACAACACCAACTACATTGCTAGACTCTAGTCATAGTTTACAACTCTGATATATTTGCAACTGAGAGCTACCTGAACAGCTCCAACTGTACTTGGTCATTAGATTTTAATTCAGTGCAAGTTTAATTGTTCCATATGACAGTTTTTGTTTCAGAGCAGCTAATTTAAGTCACATATGTTTTACGCAGTCATTATGGTTGCAGCTTCATTACTCAAAGGTTTGTAATTACATACCTGTGCGTCTGGACTAAAAATTGTCTGGTGCTGGTCTGTTCCTGAGCCCATAACAATATTAATGACCCAAGGGTGACAAGGGTTATTAAATTGTTAGTGATGTGGAAGTTCAGTGTTGACAACAATACTCACAGGCTAACCAAATATCTGTCCTGTGTGGAGGGTGAAAAAAAGGCAGACAATACATCTGCCTTTAAAGAACATTCCTAGCTTCCTAGCCCAGAACACATCCACAGGAAACAACAAGTCCAGTTGGCCTTCTTTCCAGTGCTGGATGAAAGTAATATAATTTATACACAAACACTTCCTCTTGGCCAGAGCTGTGCCTATTACAGTATCCATCAGTTTATCAGTGGTGACAGCTTTCCTAAATGTTGCTTCACTTGGTGTCAAAGCATTAAATTAGATGTCTCTTACAATCAGACAAGAAAAACTCACTGTTTTGCTTACTGCTGTGTTGTTTCCTTTTGTAGATATGGGTGATTTTGTCTCCTATACACAGCTTCACCCTTCTGACATCAGCAACCAATTGATGATGCAGTTTGTAAAACGGCTGGAATTTCTAAAATGGTAATGGCTAGATTTTTTTATTTTACTTATTTCGCAAGGTGATTGCGACTTGTCTGGACTACAATCAGAGTTAATTTGCAGAGGTCAGTAGGGCCCCTCACGCTTTCTTCACTATCTCTACAAGCACAACAAATGGTAACTCAAAACCTTTAACGGAAAATATCAATCACTACTATTCACTGCTGCGGTACACCTTTAATTAACCCTTTTTTAATTTATCTTTGTGAAATATTTTTCCTTAAGCCAGCTTTATACTCCATCAAAAATGGTTTATTAAGGCCATTTCACTGTCTCTCTCAGAACTTGCTGTCTGGCCACGTCAGAAAATGTGTTTATAGCTGTTCTGCACACCCACGCTGGAAGGTGGAGTGAAAAGCCAGCAGTCACAGAGACAGGAGGACAAATCGAGAGTCTTTCCAGGAAGACAATCATGGTGCTGACCTCAGGTGAACACATTAAAAAGTGCCGCAAATAGTTGTGTAACTAATGGAAAAAAAAGAGAGCTGAGAGAGAAGTACGATGCCTGGCTCATTGCTCACCGTTGCATAGCTGGCCCATCACAGTTTGAAGTGTGTGTGAATGTAGGAATTAATAGATTTTGCCACATAATCCTAACATTTTCAACATTTCAAATGTTGCTGTTACCAGGTGACCTTCTGGTCACAAGCAACCTTTTAAACATTTAGTTCCTCACCGCCTGATTTTCTGTTATTATTCTGAGAATATGAAATAGCTAGTAATATACCCTACTTAGAAATGTTCATGACTGACACATGGTATAGCAATTCAAATGCATACAGATTGTACAGTACATTACCTAAACAGTAGTTAACAGTCCTGAAAATCCTGTTTCAGCTGCAGTGGTTTAATTTTTCACCTTGCTAGACAGATGTACAGGGGTACTCCATGACCCAGTGACATCACTGCTGAGTGTGGTTACAGATGCCTTACCTGAAAGTAAAAGAAGGCCTGACCAAACCAGTAGTGCATGATAGTGGTCTGGGCTGCGTCATAGTGAAGTTTTTTCCAGATGAACTGAGCCATGAGTGTCTGGATCAACAGGCAGCAGCACAGCACAGGCAGGTTGTGAGCACGAAACAGCAGTGAAACCAACAAAACCAAGCCGCTGTAAATCTCCCATAATCCCCTGCTCTTCAATTTGGCATCTGCAGTGATGATCTGGGATCGCAGCAGGTCCTTGGTGCCCGTGAAGAGGATGCCCAAAACAAAGACGTAAACAAAGCGGGCCTCCACTGTTCCCCTAAATGAGAAAAGATTACAGACTGTGTGACTTTGTCGTTTGCTGTAAGCCAGTATTGATTCCTCCCCACAAATAACAAAGTAATTGCAGTAAGTGACTCTGGGACGTGGATTCTGGCAATCTCGCTGTACCTGTCCATGCATTTAGCAACTGTATATTCAGAGATGGGAAAATCTTCTATTTTAGTCTTTCTATACTGAATGATAAAAGAATAACGCTTCCTTTCAAATGAGGATGACAACAAAAGCTGTACAACACTGAGCAAGAGTAAAATCCAACTATGTAACAAAACAAAAACAATTTTATTAGATCAAATCAAGTCCCTACAAAGCCCTTATAAAAAAGACAAAGTCTAAAACAGGCTCATATTATCTCTGTGATACTGACATTGTCCTGTGGACAATGAAAAGTTTGATGAATGGGATATGTTAGGACAAATAGCCAATATGACAACATAATAGTAATTTTAGTTATACAGCACTTTTCTAAACAGCAAGTGTTTAACAGTAACAACTACAGAGTAAACAAATGCTAACTTAAATAAGAGCACAACATTTATCTGATAACACTGAGCTTTAAGAAATTATTTAAAAAACACTACAAGGTTACTGTAGCTACCCTGAGACACTCAGGCAGGAAGTTCCAAAGCAGATGGGCACAGACTGAGAAGGTCCAGTCTCTCTGGATAATAAACCAAGAGACTGGAACAGGAGACCTCTTCCTAAGGATCTCAGGCTGTGCTGTGGCTCATGCAAGGCCTTAAAAGCTAAAGAGAAAAATCTTCAAATCAATGTTAAACCCAAAGTGAGCCAGTGCAAAGATGCGAGGGAACGATGTGGTCTGATTTCAAAGACTCCGTTAAAATCCTAGAGGCAGCATTTTGGATGATCTGGAGATGACCACCTGACTCACAGCTGAGGCCAGAGTAAATAAAATTACATGATTACACCACAGTTACGGAATTCTATTCCAGAGGACCTCATGACATGTGACTGAGTCTCCTCTTTTAAAGCAGGTCTTACAACATATTTTTATAGGAAAGCCAACTCCGATTATTGTGTGTATTGTTGTGAAGCACTTCGCAACCATGTTTTGAAAAGTGCTTCAGAAATAGTTTATTATTATACCACCCTAGATATGTGGCTGTAAATGATATGTTTGAGTCAAACATAGCCCATAGAATGTGAATGGATCCCTTAATATTAGATGATAACCAACTAAGGTTGGAGTGTAGAGGAACAGTTACAGAAGGTGGGCCAAATAACATCACTTCAGATTTTGATTCATTTAGACATTGACAGCTCTGTGGAGTCAGGCCCAGCAGGCTTAAAGTGGAACACACAGCTGTGTAGCATCAGCGAACACATGAAATCAACAGTGTTTTTGGAAAATGGGGCAGGATGAAAATGACAGGTGGGGACAGGTGTGCGTGGGGTCTTCCTAATTTCAACAGAGAAACTCCTATAGAATCACAAATGTAGGAGTGAAACCAATCAAGGGTTGTGTCATTGATGCCCACCCATATTCTCAGACAATCAGTTAAAGCCACCAACATTTATATGATGATGTTGCACCATCACTTCCCTCCACTATGAAAAAATGAAGCCAAAATATCATGAATACAGCAGCTGCCATATTGCTTTTGTGCAACCGGAAACAGAGTGACAGCATCGGACCGCCAAGCAAAGCTGTCAGATCAACCAAAATACACCTCTTTATATATCATCAAATAACTTATTAAAAGCAAACCTACCAGAAAAATGACTACTTGTACACTTGTATCCAACAAATATCTACCAAAGGACCACAGAAGTGACCTCTGGGAAAGATGTATTTGATTTCTACTTTGAGTTTTCAGTTTGGCTCATATCCCATTCACTAATGTGCAGGTGGTGGGATTTACAGCCTATACTGCACCCAGCCACCAGGTGGCGATCAGGTCCTTGTAGCTTTACCTCCGGGAGCAGTCAGCCTGTCCATCGTTTTTACAGTCGATGGTTAAAACTGAGGGATCAAAAGTGCCAAACAGAACTCAAATCAAGTAGGATTAAAACACTAGAGTGACCAAATTCGACAGAGAGCAGGAAATCATTGGTCACTTTAATGAGTGTGTTTTCACTGCTATTAAAGTGCGTTTTTCAAAAATTCTACTGCTTTTCATAAAAGAAATGTTTTGAAAATGAATGGTTTTTTTTTTCTAAAATAATTGAAACAAAAAAAAACTGAAGTCGGCCTAAAATCATTTAAAACCAATGGGGTGAGGATGGACTTTTTCATCAAAGAGTGGGAAACTGCATGCTCAAAACTCAACAGAAAAGTGCCAGTGGAAAAAGCAGTGTTGATAATGGACAGAAAATCAGGTTCAATGGTGTGAAAAATCGATTTTAAAAACCAAGTGTGTAGGAAATCTAGAGAGCAGGAAGTTTCATGGAGGTGACTGTATTTTCAAGGGCTGACACATCGATAAATGAGATAAAAGAAGTGCCTCAGGAGAGCTACAGATGATGGGGGGAGGGATGTGCTGCCTCATCCCTTTTGTTTTATTGATAAACGATTGACGAAATACTCACATTTTGCTGTGGCAGCTTCAGGGAAATGGGTGAGGGGGGGTCGATTACAGAGTCAACAGTCTGAAGTTCTGGTATTGTAGCTTTGGAAGGCAAGCAGGTAGGAAACGTGGTCATTGCTCAAGTTGGATCAGAAACAGCACATATGGACAATGGAATGTAAAAGACAATAGCTGGGGCATGCAATTTGGGATCACCCTTGGGGTCTCTCTGGGGTTGACAGCATGGGGGAGAAAGGCCAGTTCACCATTTCCTCTCCCTTAACTACACAGAGCATTACTGAACTGCTTACACCCTCTTAATAGCTCCCTCCTCAGGGTCTGGGAGCCATTTAGGAGGGAAACACACCACATATTGGGTCAAGTCTCTCCTGTCAAGGTCGGGGGCCAACCCCGAGCTGTTTCAGGCCCAACAATCAACTATTAAAATAAACAATGAGGAACCGTAAAACAAAGGGAAGGTTTAACTTAACCATAACACAAGGATGCTGCTGTCCTGCTGCCTTGGACGACCTCACTCTGCTGAGCTGCTCCGGAGCTCCTCAAGTGATGGCCTCACCCGGTGCTGGTGGTTCAGGGTGTGGGCATCACCAGTACACTCCTGGTCCTTTGCTGATTTAACACCCCCTGTCTTACTCTTTTGATTAAAAGCTAATATTTTGTTTGATTTTATTTTCCTTTAATATATCCTGAATATCAGACTGCAGAGTTGGATACACCCACACTACACACGTTCACACACACAAACTAAATGTAAAAATCCCTTTGTCTCTTTTGTAAATGTTTGTTGTCTTTTCTTCTTTGGTATGTCCTTTGTCCTGTAAATGTGTTGCTTCATGTTGCAATTTAAAAAAGAAACTGACACTACACATTTTATAACGTGTATATTTCAGCCAGAGGCTCTGCTGTAACAGGTTTTCAGAGTTCATAGCTTTAATTAATTTCATATCCCTGTTGCTGGTCAGAATGCCACGTATTTCTGTAACTCCTAATAACCCATCTTTTATTCAGTATGCAGTATGTCAATGTAACATTAATAATTAAAGGTGTGAGACTGGAAGACAGAACGGGTTGCCCGAGGAAAGCAGACTTTTCTCACATGCATCACTGTCTGTGCTACTTGTTTCTGTATCGCTCTAATTTGAAAAATACCTCATTAACATTGTTCTAGTGTATTTTAAGGCTGTACGACATGTTATCAAAAATCTCCTTCTTGAATGGAGTAGCAGTGGAACAACACAGACTGCAGACCACTCCTGAAGGTCTCCGAGGGATTTATAACAGCCGCCCGGGAATGTTAAAAACTTTCACAGGTATAATTTTGGTCTCTTACTGTTTATGACTGTACCGTGTCAAAACGCTGATATATTTTACCCACAGTCACAAGGCTTCCACTACTGCTCCTCCACAGATTGTTTTCATTTAGAAGGACATATTACTGAATTTATAACAACATGCTCAACAAAAAATATAACCTGTATCTGTTCCTGACAAAACATCATCAGCACTGTACAGAAGGTCACACAGCGCTATGGGCCTTGGCGACATATAGCAACGTGTTAATCAGACTAAGATGCACATATAACAGGTGCTATTTTTGTGTAAATTTCACTTAACATTGTGACTAAAATATACAGTGAATGAATGATGCAAACCAAGAGAAAACAAAGATACCAAGGAACATTATGGAGAACTGATCATTTTTAGAAGACAGAAGATGAAAAGTGTATGACTAACATTATTAAACAGCAGTTTGCCAACAGATGTTGCTTAAAGTAAATGTTTGACACATTATCTTTTTGAGTATTTACTTTTACTCATTATACAAAGTCTAAATATAACCTAAAGGATATTCCTACTTCCAAAAATCAAACTCAAGGATTTCAACTCAAACTGATTAATAGGGCTATCACTATATGCAATGATTAAAAACAACAATCAAATCTAATGTTTTCATGGTTCTGAAAAAGGTTAGATCACATCAGCAATTTCTGTGAACACTGAAAAAAGATAAGACTTTATTTTTAATTAAGAGGCTCATATTATGCTTAATTTCCATGAATCAACTGTTCAGGTGGGGATGAAAATATACACTAATAGGCAAAATAATTTCAAACAGAAGTGCTTCTGGTGCCCCTCCCTACCACTTAAAAGGGAAAAATATCAAAAACATTAAAAAAAAAAAATCCAATTCAGACACCCAGGTGGATTTTGTGATTTTGAGTTCTGTGTACTGCAAAACCACCCATGTAGAATTGAGTGCCTCTGTTGCTGTCTTTGTATAAGTCAGACTAAAAGAAGGCAGAGTAGCTGAGCATCACTATGCTATTCGTATTGGGAATACAATTTATCCCATGGCCAGACATGATCTAAGAGTGCAACATTACTCTACTTTGTGTGTCACTGGCTTAGAGGCTATAGATTTGGACACAGA